TTTATATTTTAAAATTGCCAATTGTAACCATAAATAGCGACAAATCAACAAAAAATGTTACAGCATATTTAAACTTAGTTTCGAAAAAATTATACCATTATAAAAAATTTAAGTAATTAAAAAAAAAAAAGACAAAACTATTACCCTCCTTCAAATATATTTAAATTTATAATCTGTAAAAAATGCTTCTCTATTAATAACTTTATCGAAAAGCAGATTGTGGGATATCCTGGAAAATTTGAAGAATTGAATAAATTTTGAAAAATTTATGAAAATTCCAGGTAATTTTTATGAGTCAGGGAAAATTCATGGAAAAAAATAATATAAATATACCACCCTGATAATATACATTTAAACTAATTAACTACATCCATATGAAGATAAACAAACACATGATTAACAAATTGAGTGATCTACACAGTCATATAAATAATGGGAAACATTGGAAATATTTACTTTAAATTCCTTAATTCACATGTATATGAACATTAAAAAGGTGTCTAAATTACTTTACCTAAAGATAGAGTCAAATTATTTTACGTGAAAAATCGATTTACGTGAAAAATCGATTTTGACGTAAGCACTACTATGCATTTAAATGTATTTAGAATGTCATAGTCATGTAATACAATAAATTTTAAATCCAATAATGACTCAGACCATTGATCTTGCTCTTGCTTGTTTTACAGATGGAATCGAAAGTGCAGTTGGTCTTTTTTTTTTGCATGATGAATAAATTTTCTCCATTACTTTGATTGCACACTCTGCTCATTGATTACTTCTGGGTATCTGTAGTATGGATGGCTCGCCTCCAATGATTTTTTAAAGAGCTTAAAACCTTTTTGTATGGATTCAGTATTTCAGCCAAGTTATTTAAGTCGCTTTCGTTGTACAGTTGGTCTGTAAACTAATGGTCTGCCCACCCATTCGATATAAGTAGATTCTCTGCAAAACTGTCCTAGTTGAAGGAATAAAAATGAAGGCTAGGATCGCTATTATAGCTCTGGAGTTCCAACTTGCATTGCTGATGTTGTGTATTTTCTGAAACCTGACCAATAAAAAATGTCCTTTTTTTCTCAAAAAATTGGAACACTCGAGTGAGATGAAATAAAAATTTCATATCAGCTCTCCACCCTGATATTTCGAGAACTACTTCTGTTGCATTATCAAAATGCGTTTTTAGTTGTTTGTACTTCTTCAACAGTTGAGATACAAATATTTGATGTTTGGCAACTTTCAAGTTCTTCATTCATCACCAAACAGAGGATTCTATCTAATACAACTTTCCATATGCAACTTTTCAATCATTTCTTCCTTCAGCTTGATTGCCTCTTTGATTGTTGACTCGTAAGTATCTTATGGAAATGGAGTTGGGATGTCAATGTCTTCACAAACCAATTGCTTGCATATGTTAGCAGTTTTGTTTGTTGATACTCTTGTGAAAGTCACCAATTTGACTGCAATTTTGCTTTTATGATGCTTTCTGCTTGGTGTAGGAATTGTTTCATCTTTTTCGTTATTTTCATATTCACTATATGACATCATCATATGACATCAGCCTCAGAGTAAGAATCACTAAAACCAGGGTAATGGATGAGATAATGAGTTGGATGAATCATTAGAAAATTTTTGTCTTTTAGAGGGATGGATGGTTTAACTGGCCGCTTGGCCTGTAGAATATCCCACTGTTCCTTTGCTTTCCACTTGGTACAAGATGGTACAAACGCTTGTCCTCGGAAGATAACCATGTTCCATCCACTTTAGTAATATCAAAAATTTCATCAAGGGGTTCACAGCTTCCCACTTAACACATTCATCATAACATTTCAATATTTTATCAAGCTTTGCATGTATAACTCGATCAGATAAATGAGGAAAATTCAGTTTATTCTTCCACAATTTGGTGACTGGAAATTTTTGCTAATCACTCCTTTCCTCTTTTGATTATTGGTCCAAGGAAATGGTAGCATCTGATAATTTGCTTTTGGAGAGGCATTCTGCACTTTTCTTCCAGTGAATATTCTTCCAAAGGGACCATTCTTCTTTTATGAGAGTTTTCAAATTTTACCAGATTATTGGTCAAGACATCCTTGTTTTTTTCTGAATGCTACTATTGCTAGGCTTGTGCGATGCCATGTGTTGTTTCTGTAATAAATATAAAATTAGATAAGCAGCTATATATAGTCTAAAATGTTCTAGAATATATGTTCTAGAATGAATGTTTTAGAATGTTCTAAATTGTTCTAGAATGTTCTAAAATATTTTAAATTGTTCTAAAGTTTTAAATTGTTTTACAACGTTCTAAAGTATTTAAAAATATTCTGTTATTTTCCAAAATGTTCTTAAGTTCTAAACAAGTTTTAAATGATTTGCAGGAAAGCCACACATATTAGTAGTAGCAGTAACAAGATTAAATAAATGACAAAACGTAATTTGAATTGCAGGGTGACATTTTTTTAAAACCGAGAGGAATTGAACATGTTTTCAATGTTTTCTAATAAAAGTTCATTGATTTATGACACAGGAAATTAATTTTTTTTTTAAAAGTCAAAAAGTCATAACCCTAATGTTTACTTTGATCAAGTAAAGCTTATTTTTTCAATAATATTTTCAAGTTCAATAATTCAATTAAGTTTTGTGTTGAATTACCTAAAAGTAAAAAGTTTAAAATTCTGCTTTATAAATATTGTATTGATAATATTTAGAAATAATAGACTTATTATTAGTTGGTTTGGCATCATTGTATTTTCTCAGTATAGTTATCAGGATCTATATAGCAGATGATATATTGATAGTCAAATGATTGTCGTTTATTACATAAAGTTTTATAGGATACTTATCGCTTCTCTTTTTTCAGATCAAACTAGAAAGTGGAGTTATGAAATCAGATGGATTAAGCTAATCCATTAGTTTTAATCTTCTACTTTCAAAAATTGATTTTCCAAAAGGAACTAAATAAACTTTAAATCCACATTAGTTTTCACATCTTTTAGAGTAACTAGCTACACAACAACTTGTTGAAATATTTTAATTCTTGTTAAAAAATAAAATAGTGAATAAATTCCCAAACAGAACATACAAATATCACAATACTTTTACTGATAAAATTTCCATATATTTGTTTTTCCTGCCTACAAGTATATGGGCACATCTTTTTTAGAAATTGAGAATGTAAATATTCACAAGTCATCTATACAATAAGCATTTAAAAAACAAGGCCCACCCAATAAAACCTTGATAAATAGCCACACCCACCAAAAAAAATGTAGAATAACAATATTGTCAAGTTAAAAAAGCAAAAATTAATATGAGTGTAATGGTAGGGTGGTTCAAAAAATAACTTTTTTTAAAAATAGTCTGCTGCTCTTAACTAAATGTATTCTATATAATGCAAAAAAATTAGGTTTAAAATTTTTTTGAACAAAAAATATTTTTTAGGGGTGCCTCATGACCCTTAAAAATTTGATGGGTCTTTAATATTTTGAAAAAAATAGTTTTTCTAAAGTATGTCAACCTGGTACTCAAAAGAAGCGAAATTATATAAAAACTTGAAAAATAATAATCAATTTACATATAAAACATGTTTTAATAAACTATTTTAAAAAAACTTGAAAATATTGACTTTTTTTATTATCACCTTAAAAACAATAGTTTTTAGGCAATTATATCTGAAAAAAATCTTTTTATGTAAATTGATCATTATTTTTGAAGTTTTTATATAATTTCGCTTCTTTTGAGTACCAGGTTGACATACTTAAAAAAAAATTTTTTTTTAAATGTTAGGGACCTGTCAAATACTCAAGGGTCTTGAGGCACCCCTAAAAATATTTTTTATTCAAAAAAACTTCAAACCTAGTGTTTTTGTATTATATAGAACACATTTAGTTAAGAGCAGGAGACTATTTTTAAAAAAGTTGTTTTTTGAACCACCCTAGTATAATGGTATTTTTACCTTTCAATAAATTATGTTTAAAGTAAAAACACTTTTAAAAATATATATATCAAATATTAAAAAAATCAATATATACAACAGATATACACCACAATAACTACCTGAACCAACTGACTAATTCTTTCATAGTGTCTTTCTAAAAACATAAGAAAATTAAAAAAACACTCAAAATTTTGCTAAGAGTGTTAACATAATTAAAATAGTGATATACATTATTAAATTAAAATTTGTATGGGATAGTAGAGAGACAGTGAGAATGTTCAATTACAATAAGAATTAAGGTGAAATATAGTTAGAATTTAGATAAAATATGTAGACAATGTCTTACTTAGTCAAACTATTTAGTTTATTCATTTTTTTTAATTAAAAAATCTAATAAAATATTATATAGAAGCAAGATTAGGTAAAGAATTGTTAGAATGTTGATAAAACAAAGTAAAAAAAAAAAGTATAAGATATTAAGTAAATAATTTACCAGTATATGGTAGCAATGACTCAATTATTTCTTTTATACTTGTAAACTCTAAAAGCTCATCTGCACTTTTTTCTTTCAAGACAGCAGATAAGACTAAAATTAAGAGAAAAAGTTTAAAATAAGAAGATTATTTTAGCATATGGACAAGAAACTAATGTACATATTAAAGCTAATTTATTTAAATAACACACCAAACTGCGAGACAGAAGCATGCTTGCTATTTGTATTCCAGTGACATACAAAACTAAGCAGTTTACCTAAAATTAAATATATTTTAATTATGTGTGTATCTCTCTCTCTCTCTCTCTCTCTCTCTCTCTCTCTCTCTCTCTCTCTCTCTCTCTCTCTCTCTAGAGAGAGAGTGAGAGACACATATAATTAATATATATATATATATATATATATATATATATATATATATATATATATATATATATATATATATATATATATATATATATATATATATATTATATATATATATATACATGAATAGAAAAATTATTATGGATTTTTAGAGTTGTCACTAAATTCCATTAGTTAAGACAACTAAAAAATTTTCAGTGGTCAATGATATGCTTTTGTTTTAATGACATTTATATATATTGTAATGGGACTATTTTATTTTCAAATAAAATCTATTTAGATCTGATTTTTTTAATTTTAGGGTCATTTAAGAGCTAGACAAGAAAAGTTTTTGAAATTTATCTGTAAATTCTGAAATATGTTAATTTGAGTTTGTGTCAATTTCTTTTACTCTCTGTGGTGTATGGTGCGCTCTGTATGTTTTTGAACTCTATAAATTTTAAGTTTCAGTTCAAAAAAAAATAAAAATAAAAATTGTTCAGCAAAATCTGTGACATTTTTGACTGACTTTGAAGTGATGAGGAAAAGAAAAGACCTGAGCCCTAGAAAAAAAGGACAAATCTGTGTTTTATTGGAGAATAGTAGCCTAAAACAAAAGGAGATAGCTATGAAATTGAAGATTTCAGCACAAACAGTTAGTGCAGTGAAAAGGAAGCTGGATGAGGGTAGAAACATTGAAGCTGGAAGAGTTGGAAATTATGTTCGTAAAAGAATCACTACCCCAGACTTAAGAAAAAAATCAAAGTAATGGCCCACAATGATAGAAGAAGTTCTTGCAAGAAGATATCTATGGAATTAGCAAGTCGAGGTATTAATGTAAGCCGTAAAACAGTGAATAATCACTTGTTGGAGCAGGAACTGAAGGCATACAGACCAAGAAAAAAGCCAAGACTCACAAACAAAATGAAGCATGCCTGGCATGGGTGGGTTGTTGAGCATAAAAGTTGGATGCAAGAAGATTGGTCCAAGGTAATCATTAAATTAGCTTTCTGTTAGATCTAGATAGTATTGATTTCTTAACTTCTTTCAGTTTCATCATAATTTCTAACTAATATCAGTAGATGTTAACTTGTTGATCATGACTATTAATGTAATGTTTGTACCATAATTTCTTTGAAACTTATCAGGCATTTTTTTTGTTTGGTCCCTCAAGTCAGAGGCTGGTTCACTAATAAGGATTTTATATTTCAACAAGATTGTGCTCCTTGCCATATGGGCAAGTTGTCAATAAGATGGTTCTGAGACAATGAATTCTCTGTACTCGAAGGGCCTGGGAATTCATTAGATATGAACCCAATTGAGAATTTATGGAACATTTTAAAGGACGAAATACACTAAGTTCCAATTACTACAAAAGCACAGCGTATAGAGAGGTTAATCCATGTCTGGTTTCACAGCAAAAAAATCATATTTTTCAGTTATGCCGTGATTTAATCATAGGTATGTCCAAGAGAGTGAAACCATTGAAAGCTGCCAAAGGTGGTTAAACCAAGTATTAAAAACTTTGATATACCTGGAATATATAATCTGTAACTTTATTTTTGTGTTATGATTGTTTTTAAATTAAAAAACTTGATTTTTACTTTAAAAACAAGTGAAAAATCCATAATAATTTTTCCAGTACTGTATGTATGTATATATATATAAAATATATATATATATATATATATATATATATATATATATATATATATATATATATATATATATATGTATATATATATATATAAATATATATATATATATATATATATATATATATATATATATATATATATATATATATATATATGTATATATATATATATAAATATATATATATATATATATATATATATATATATATATATATATATATATATATATATATATATATATATATATATATATATATATATATATATATATATATATATATATGTCTTCTTTGTTCAGCTAATTGTAAAATATAGAGGTGGTTGGAGCCTGTAAATAAAAATACACTAAAAATTTTTACAAACCCAAGGCATAAGTAAATAAGATATTTTTTATACCAATCTTATACTAAATATAAATTCATTATGCTTTACTTTGCTACTAAGGCACACACACCTGCAAAAATATGTCGAGTGCAAAAAAAGCGCTTGCCAGAAAATAGTCTTTTTTTTTAATTGCAACAAACAATTACTTTTATAAAAAATTGTGAAAACACTTTAATGTTTAAAATAATTTATTTAGAATTTAAATAAAACATTTGTTGTTCTAATAGTAATAATAATTTGTAGTAATAGTAATAGTAATTACAGTAATAATAATTAATATTACAGTAATAATAATAATAATAATTATAATAGTATGTATAAAAATAGTTAATTATTTAAATAATATTTGAGCTGTGACCGATAATTCCGTGAGTGTACCAAGTACACTTAGACAACTATATCACAATTCAGCATAGCTACATTATTTAAAATCCATATGTCAAGTTTAGTTTTTAAAGAATTTACAGAAATAGCATTAACAACATCAGTAGGTAGTCGATTCCAGTAAAAAGATGCTCTGTTAAAAAATAATGGCGAGGCAAAAAACTGGTTATTTTTCGATTTTATTACATTTGATGGACCTCTGGCTGATAGTTAACTTCTTTGCAAAATTTAATTAAATTTACTTTTTTACTAATTTACTAATGTTTTTTTAGGATTTAAATAAATTTTATTTTTATGCAGTTTTTTTTATTTTATCAAGAACTGAAATTAATTGCTTTGTTTATTTTTTTAATTGCTTCCTTTTGAATATAAGTAAAAAGTTTGTCTTTCTGTTTTTTTATCTTATATATTTTGTTTAATATAAATATTTTCAAAAAATTTTTATTTTATTTGCTGTTTTTGTTATTATTATTATATTTTTATTTCTTTCAGTTAGAATTAACATGTTTGTCTGTCCTTTTTTTATTATTATTTTGTTTAATATTAACATAAAACATTTTTTATTTCTTTACCATTTATTTTTCAATTATTTCATTTAGAATTTAAATAAAACATTCCTTTTGCAGAGTTTTTCTTTTAACTATTTCATCTAGAATTAATTCTTTTCTCTGTTTTATTTTAATAACAAAAAATAAAAAAAATTTAAATTGCGCAAGGCAATCTAAAATATATATATATATTAGTGTCGCGAAGGAGTTTAATGAATAGTGTTGAAAACAAAAAAAAAGGAAAAGTTTTGCATATGAATTTAATGAATAAGGAAAAGTTTCGCATATGAATTTAATAAATAAGGAAAAGTTTTGCATATGAATTTAATGAATAAGGAAAAGTTTCGCATATGAATTTAATGAATAAGGAAAAGTTTCGCATATGAATTTAATAAATAGAGTCAAAAACAACAACAAAAAAAAAGAATAGTGTTACAAATGAATTTAATGAATAGTATCAAAAAACAAAAAACAGGAATGCCCAAAAGGAGTTTAATGAATAGTAATAATAATAAAAAAATAATAATAACTATAAATGTCTGAGGGTTTTAGGTTTGGTAACAATCTTTTATTTTATCATAAGCCATATGCTATAAAGATAAGCAAAACAAGTTACCAATTGCTGAAATCAATTATTTGCAACACTATTCTGTTTTTAGAATATGCGATTTATATATTGATATTTAAACTTTGGTTTGTGACAAAAAAAGCACATATATATAATTAGATATAACTTTATAGATAATTATAAAAAAACGTTCAAAATAACGTATTTCAAAGCAAACAAATCAATTCAACAATTGCAATATTTTTGCTCAGAACAAATGTCACTAAAACACCTTGTAGAACAAATTTGTTGGAAATGAGATAATCAAACAAAACTTTTAAAAGTTTTCAACAAAAGCCATTTTATCTTACTGAAACACCCTGTTTTATATGATAACATGTGATATTAGGAAAAAAATTTGTTACATACTCAACTGTTCATTATCTAGTTGTGATATAATATCTTGAATTTGCGATGCATCTTTGTCAAGTATATCTATAAAGTAAAAATCAATTTAGCAAAATATATATATATATATATATATATATATATATATATATATATATATATATATATATATATATATATATATATATATATATATATATTGAATATTTTAAATAAAAAGAATTAGCAACTATTTTTATATCTTATTTGTATCAACTCTGTGTGGATATTTAACTTTTTTTTATTTATTTATTTATAACAATTGAATTAACTTGTGTTACAAACATTAAGTTAAAAGGTTTTGATAATCATTATTTTTGCGATCATAAATTTGTTTTGTTTTTTACAACATGATAATTATTTATTTTGCAATACAAATTTATAAATTTTTGTAATATGATGAATAGACCCTTTCATTAAAAGAACAAATTTCCAGATATTAAAATTCCTAAACATCTAACTCGCTACTTGAGATTAATATATATATAAATATATATATATATATATATATATATATATATATATATATATATTTTTTTTTTTTTTTTTCTGATGAGTCTTTATTGATGAAACACAGTGTTGAATGAAAAAATTTTGCTAAGTGATTTTCTACTAATTTGTAATTGCTCTGTTCTTTTAAGAACATTTAGCACTCTTTTTGTAGAAAACATTTTAAATTGTTTAAATATAAATATAAATATATATCTATATATATATATATATATATATATATATATATATATATATATATATATATATATATATATATATATATATATATATATATATATATATATATATATATATATATATATATATATATATATATGTATACATATATATACACATATATATATATATATATATATATATATATATATATATATATATATATGTATACATATATATACATATACATATATATACATATATATATATATATATATGTATACATATATATACATATACATATATATACATATATATATATATATATATATATATATATATATATATATATATATATATATATATATATATATATATATATAGATATATATATATATAGATATGTATACATATATATACATATATATACATATATATATACGTATATATACATATATATACATATATATATACATATACATACATATATATATATATATATATATATATATATATATATATATATATATATATATATATATATATATATATATATATATATATATATATATATATATATATATATATATATATATACAGGGCTTAAATCAGGCATATCTTGGTCTCAAATCACGATAGCATTTCGAACCTTCGTGATAAGTTTTTCCTTAAAAAAATAGAAAGCACTTTTTTCTTATTTTTTCTTTTTTTTTTGCCCATTCTATAATTATAGAATGTTTAAAATTTCTTTGTTGGAATGGGAAGCGAATGTTATTTTAAATGAAGCTGTTTTTAGAGTCAAATTAAAAAATAGTATATAATTATATTATTTAATTAATGTAATAACTATATAATATATATACTATATAATAATATATATACTATACAATTAGAAACAAGAAGTAGAAGGCTTAATTAACAAGGAAATTGAGTTATTGGAAAAAATTACCTTTAAAAATTCCAAGCACCCTGAATGGTTGTTCTAATCTTAATGCCAAACCAATTGCTTTCTCAAATTGTTTATTTTGAATCAAGTTTGATAACTCTTGCTCACTAAAGGTTGGAATAATATAATAAACTGAACTCATATATATATACATATACATACATACATATATATATATATATATATATATATATATATATATATATATATATATATATATATATATATATATATATATATATATATATATATACATATATACATATATACATATATATATATATATATATATATATATATATATATATATATATATACATATATATGTATATATACATATATATATATATATATATATATATATATATATATATATATATATTATTTTAAAAAGTTTATATTTACTTCTCTAGTTTTAAATTTGCTTTTTCTTCTTCTTCAACCATAAGTTTTTCTGTAACATCCTATAATTTTAAAAGTAAACATATATATGTGTGTATATATATATATATATATATATATATATATATATATATATATATATATATATATATATATATATATATATGCTCTTGCATTGTAGTCAAAAAGAGTTTCCCATAAACTGTAGTTTTAAAGAGCGCGTTAATAAACCAGACCAGAAAAAGTTTAAAAACTTAAATTTTTTTTTTTTTAAATGATAGACTGCCTGCCCAAACCAAACCCTCAGTCGATGTAGCAGCACTCCCTTGCGAGTCAGGCTATTTGTCAGTCGTTGTAGCAGCACTCCCTTGGGAGTCAGGCTATTTGTCAGTCGATGTAGCAGCACTCCCTTGCGAGTCAGGCTATTTGTCAATCCATACAGCAGCACTCCGTTGCGAGTCAGGCTATAAGATAGTCGATGTAGAAACACTTCCTTGTAGCAGCAGGCTATAAGATAGTCGATGTAGCAACATTTACGCATGTTATAAAAATGTTTTTTAATAAAACAAAAACAAAAACACCACTAATTAAAAAAAAACTTTCTAGACGTTATTGCGGTTTTTTAAAATTTTTTTAAAAAACAATAAAATTTAATGTACTTCCGCATTAATTTAATTGCTTTGACATTTCGACGACAATCAAATACAGCTTAAGAGATGAGGTAATTAAAATTGTAGTCGAAAGAGACTTTTTTTACATTAAAAGACTCTTTCAACTACACTTTAAGGATATATATATATATATATATATATATATATATATATATATATATAAATATATATATATATATATATATATATATATATATATATATATATATATATATATATATATATATATATATATATATATATATATATATATATATATATATATATATATATTTTTTTTTTTTTTTTTTAACATCTTCACTTCCAACAAGGCTGCAAGCAACCACTATAAGAGTTGGAAGTTACTGGAAGAGAAAAGACTAAATCTGTAGAGCAAGATAACGATTGACTGATGACTTAAAAGATTGCAAATTATATGAATCAGGAAAGCAAGATGAAGGAAGCGAATTCCAAAGAACTGATGCTCGAGGAAAAAAACTAGAAGAATAAGAGTTTTTGAAGCACTTAGGAACAGTCACAGAAAAAGGATGAGACTTAATTGAATGGCGAGTAACACGAGAATGAATTTTAGTAGATGGCACAAGAGACGCTAGCTCTTTGGAGCAGTGCCCATTATAGTATTTGTAGAAAAGAGAAAGAGAAGCAACATTACGACGATGTGACAAAGGTTGGAGATTGGCTGCCAGAGCAGGTCCAACTATGTTTACAATTCGTTTTTGCACCTTGTCTAAAAGAGAAAGAGCATCATTAGAAGATCCGCCCCAGATGTGGCAACAGTATTCCATACAGGGACGGATTTGAGATTTATAGAGATAGAGAATAGAATCTGGAGTAAGATAGTGTCGAGCTCGATAAAGAGATGCAACCTTAGCAGATGCTAATTTTGCAATGGATTTGATATACGGTTTAAAAGAAAGATCAGAAGTAAGAGTTAATCCAAGAAGATGAATGGTAGATGACTCATCTAGTACATTACCATTCATAAATATAGGAAGATCTAAATTATTACGATAACGATTGGCCGAATAAAATTGAGTTTTATCTGAATTAAAGTTCACCAGCCACTGTGAGCCCCATGCTGTAGCAGAAGTGAGATCCTTTTCAAGCTCAGATACCCCCTCCAAGCAATCAGAGAGTGTAGGCTTCTTATCATGACAAGAGTAAATGGTAGTGTCGTCAGCGAATAATGCCACCTTAGATGTGAGAATATCTGGAAGATCGTTAATGTAAATTAAAAAGAGTATAGGGCCAAGGATTGAACCTTGAGGAACCCCTGAAGTAACAGGATGTGAAGAAGAGTGTTGTCCATCGAGGACAACTTTTATACTACGATTGGAAAGAAAGGACTCAATAATCTTAAAGACGTTACCAGCTACACCATAAGAAGAAAGCTTATGGAGAAGACCAGCATGCCAAACTTTATCAAAAGCTTTAGAAATGTCAAGTGCGATAGCCTTAACCTCTCCACCTCTATCTAATGCACGGTAAAACCTATCGGTTATTACTGTTAGCACATCAGCTGTAGAACGAGAAGACCGAAATCCATATTGATGATCAGAAAGTAAGTTATTTGATTCAAGATGAGAGATTAAGTGTTTGTTGATTAAAGATTCAAAAACCTTGCTTATGACAGGAAGAAGACTAATGGGACGGTAGTTAGATGAATCAGATCGCTCCCCGGAATTTTTGAAAATAGGGATAACAGATGCTGCTTTCCAGCATGATGGAAAACAAGACTCTGATAAGCACTTGTTAAATAGTTTAGAAAGTATGGATGAAAGCTCCGGAGAACACCTCTGCAAGACTACAACAGGAATGTTGTCAGGACCACAAGCTGTTGAAGAGTCTAAGCAGGAAATTACTTTAGATACAGAAGCTGAAGTGATGCGAATGTCAAGCAAGGGATCAACCTGTTTGACGGTTATGTCAGGTAAAACGCAACTAGTGGAATCAAGAGATGATATTGATGAAAAGTTCATTATAAAAGTTATATTATAGATAATTACTCATAAGCACAAAATTAGAGTGCTGGTAACACACTAAACAGGTTTATCAATTATCAGACCAAATATAAAATTACTAATGGAAAAAGATCTTTTATGTTCTATATACATTAAAATCATGTGTAATTTAATCATTATTATCTTGGATAATAGCAACAACACTTGCTCAACATACACAAGTACAACTTTTAATGAAAGCAAATTGTAATGAAAAATTGCTGCAAGTTTGAAGAGGCTTACTACAACTGTTCATCATATCATTCAGACCATTAAGTCAACGGATAACATCAATCGAGCTTCTCATTGTGTGAATGTTAGGTAGACTTGCAACTTGAGCACAAAAAGGCCATTAATACCATTATCTCTATAGAGGCTTTCTCTCAATTTAAAGACTCTAATTTGTTACATGCTTGACCTGGGCGCATACTTACGAATCATTTAAATAAGCAAAATCAGGTTTGAATCATCTGACTAATTTTTTGTGATTTCTTCTTCACTTAATCACTTTTCACTTTCCTCTTTATTATTTCCTTTTTCCAAAGACTTTTTTTGATGTTGCAGGCAATACTTCTGTTATTGATGACTTTAATGCTAATCACACAGAAAAGCTTAGCTCTACTACCAATGACCTTGCTGGCTCTAAAGCTAAAAAATATTTGTCTTTCTTAAATTCATTATCAGATAGTCAACCTTGCGACGTTGTGATTAATAATATTACTTCATTCCTTTGATTTGTGTTACATCTCTGACCCTGGCTCGTGCTAAGTGTGTTTTGTTCTCTCAGTTTGTCCTGGTTTCCTTTAGATAATTCATATTATACTGAGTCTTTCTTCGTTACGTTCTAAACGATTTAAACATTTAAGATGGAAGATTTAAACATTGGAAGATGACATCCGTGTTTCTAATTTTAAAACTCTGGAGATCTCTCTTTACTCATCTAACAATATAGCCTTCTTACAACTAGTCTATGAACCCTTAGTTAACAAATTTCTCACCTTGAGTCAAAAATTATTATAGAGAGTCAGTTATTAGACTCATATTAAGTCTAATAACTGACTCTCTGACCAATAGGAACTTCAGTAGTCTTGTTCTACTGCTGACTTGTTAACTGTCATAACAGAAAGCTTCTATATTGTATTAGACAGAAGCAGTGTGGGAAGGACCCTTGACAGATCATAAGTTTTGGATTAAGTTTGGCATACTGGATTTGTTAATAAGTTATTCCAATTCAAATTATTGAATATATAAAAGTTGACAGACAACACTTGCCTTCATATTCAGTAACTTCTTGGGTATCACAGATTCCATTCTTAGTACCGGGTGGTTCCTCGTCTATTTAAATGATCTTTCTGGTTATCTTACCTCTAAGGTGACCCTATTTACTGATGATACATTTATATATTCTGTCTTGACAAAAAATTCTTCGATCTCTTAAAACAAGTACCCAACTCTGAATCTGAACTCTGACAGACTTTAATCTGAACTTTAGTGACAGCTTTCAGTGAGTGGGAAATTTTAATCCAAACATAACTGCTAATAAACATCACAAAATTGTTGATATTCCTATATTAATGTAAGGCAACATTCTTACTAAGTCGCTTAATTTACATCTTCTTGAATCATCATTCTCTGCTGAACTCAAATGAAAACTTTACAGACAATTCAAGATAGCACCTGTAACCTTGTGCTTATCATATTCTCATTCTTGATTCCATTTCTCTATATCAACAAATATCTTGTTTGTCATTGCATGGAATACTTTTTTCATATTTGTGATGGTTCTTCTAATGTCTCTTAAGACAAGTTCTAAAAATGTATTGTAAATGTTCATGAACCTGCTCTAGCTGCTATGCTATAGCTTTTGTCCTCAATCTGACATAACTTGTTACTTAGCTAAGTTGCATCTTTTTACTGCAACTGTTACTTATGCCTCATTTAGATTTTTTTCTGTGAACATTAGTGCTTTGGAATTTTATTTTATTTTTATGTTTTCCTGACTCATACAATTTACAATTTTTAAAATGAACTTATATTTTATTGTTGGTTTCTTGTATTTTAACTCCCTTTCATTTTTTTTTGTTAGTTCCCCAATTAATTAGTGGTTGCTTGCAGGCTTGTTAGGAGTGAATTAGCTTGTTTTTTTTAAAACAAAGAACATTGAAAATAATTTTTTTTTCTATGTAAATAGTATAACAACATTCTGTATAAAACTATTGTTGCTTCAATAGGGTGTTGACTTTTTAGTAAATTTTTGAAACTTTTTTAAAACAACTTTTTTGTACTAATTCATAGAAGTACTTATATTACTTATATTATATACTACTTATATTTTGATACTTCAATCAATAAAAAAAAAAAAAAATCACATCATTATCTTGTTTTATATTTTATTTCAGAAATAAAACAATATCAAAAAAGATTGCAGTCATTGAAATAGCAGTGATATCTGAAAATGGAAATGTTGGTACATGATACCATTTATCTTATGAATAGATCCTACACTATATTATATACACATATTATAGATACATTATGTATGAGAAGCAGCCAATAACATGTATTTCAATCCACCATGTTTCACAGACTTAATTTATTTTTGCTTCAAATTTGTTTTACCTGTACGTGTCTTGAACCTATCCCTTCAAAAAGATTTTCTATTCACCGATCTATAATACATTGTGCCACTTTATGATAGACGTTGGATGATGAAATAAAAACATTTAGTGGCATGTATTTTTGTCAACAAATAAGCTTTTTTTTAAACTTATAACAAAATTTTATCAAAAATAAGGGTATTCTTGAATATATTGAATTCTTATTTGCTTAGCTTACTTATCTCTTTCTAACATATGAAAAATTAGCCTTTCTATATTATACAGAAGGTAAACAATAATCAAAATATGAATAATTTTTTAGTACTGCTATTTCCATGTTCACAGCTGTATATTAAATAATATTAGAATTAAAAATATACTTTTTTTTAATATATAGATGATTTTATTACTTATTTTAATTTTATAAAAAATAATGTTGACGTTGTAATAAGAACCACATCTTTTTATAAAATTAAAAATAAATATTTAAAGCGTTATGAAAAATATTAGATGTATTATGAAAAATACCTTCCATATTTTAACTGTAGAATCACTTCCACCTGAAATAATTGTACTCTCCTCTTTATTGACAGCTAAACACCAAATCTAAAAATTTTTATTTAATAACTTTTAATTTATTAAAAATTAATAATATTTTATATATCTGAAAACTATTTTATCTGTAGTCACATAATTGTATAAACATATTTAATTAGTTGTCGTAATCTAATTTGTTTTTTAGAGTATTGTTTTCAACCTTTTCTTTTTTTCAAATAATTCATTAATATTACAACTAACGATTTGTTAAAATTTTCAAAACAAGTAACAAAAACTTTCTTTTGTTTACATTATATTTTTATTTAAAAATTACACTACTTAAAGTACTTAAAAAACAGATTTAAGTAAATTTTATATAAATATAATTTTTACATAGGATTACAAATGTAACTATTACACAGGGTATTGTTAATTTTTTGGAATTTTTAATTAACTTTGTATTCAAAATTATTTTAGTATTATAACTAAAAAACCTTTTCGTCGTGGGCTTCAACTGTTGATATACACTCATTGTTACGAATATTCCAAACTTTTATTAGTCCTTCAGAGCCACTAAAATTATTTTTTTACAAGAACTCAATTAAAACTATACTAAAACTCTTTTTAATTAAAAAAAACAACAAAAAAAACAACTAAAAAAATATAAACAAAAGTATTAGATCAAGAATAATATTAAATTAACCTTGAAACAACTTGCATTCCTTTTAATAGAAAGTGTACTTTTAAAACTGAATTACTGTGACCTTCAAATGTCTATATAAAAAATCAACACAAATTAACATGAATTAAACTAATATAAATTAATGCAAATTAAATCAATAATAAATTAACATATTCAATAATAAATTAACATAAATTAAACTAATACAAAAAATATTAAAACTTTTATTTAAGTATATCAGTTTCAATTTTGAGAGTATAAACAACTATATTCATTAGTGGTCACACTGACAGAGGTGATGAAGACTATTGAGAGTATAAACAACTATATTCATTAGTGGTACACTGACAGAGGTGATGAAGACTATTGCATTACATCTAAAAGTACTATATTAGTAGAATTAGTAACTAAAAATTTTGGATTATTTAGGATCAATTTATAAAACTAAACCATGATAGAATATTAAACTAAACAATGTAAGGATATAAAAAAAAAACGCTCAAGTAGTTATTTAAGTTAAACTTTTTTTAAAAAGTTCTTCAAGTTAGAAACAAATGGAAAAAAAAAAGTTTTTCACCTTAACGCAAGTAAAATCAGATAGAGTCCACAATTTTATGGTAGAATCTGCTGATCCTGTCGCAATGCATTGGTCAACAGGAGAGAAACAAGCACACCATATACCACGTTTGTGACCACGCAACGTGCCAAGCAAAGTGCCTGATTTAAACTTCCAAACCTTAAAAGTTAAATAAAAAAAACTAAATGTTGTATAAATTTTAAATTTAATTTATTTTTAACTGTTTTAATTTTATGAAATAAAATCTAAAAAGAAAAAAAAAAAGAAAAAAAAAATGAAGAAAAAATAAAAAAATCAGAATTTATTGTTAATCATAGTAACTTATAATTAAAAAAAGGAAAAAAGAAACTATTTGGTATAATAATTTTATTAGGAATGATTTGATAAAAAACTTACTTTTGCCATTTTGTCTTGAGAGCCAGATACCAAAATTTTATCATTGGGTGATATTCTTACCACATTAACATCCTAAATTTAACATTTTGAAAATTATTTTTAATTGCAATAATTTTTATTACAAACGGTAATGTGCATGTATGTATGTGTGTATATATATATGTGTATATATATGTGTGTGTATATATATATATATATATATATATATATATATATATATATATATATATATATATATATATATATATATATATATATATATATATATATATATGTGTGTGTGCATATATATATATATATATATATATATATATATATATATATATATATATATATATATATATATATTTTAATGACATCTTAATAGTATGATAAAATTTAAATATAAAATTGAAAATACATCATGTACGGTGACATACTATTTATTTAACTATTATAATTTTTTAATTTTTAATTGTGATATTTCGGCTCATATAGTTGGAGCCATTTTCAAACTAAAACTTGTTACCAAAAATTCGTTATTTACAAAAATGATGTCATTGCTGCATAATATTATAAAAGTTTTTCTTAAATTTAACAAAAAATGGTTTCCAATGGTGAGTCGTGACTAGGTTGCCATTATCTCGGTTTAGAATTTTATTTTTTAAATAGCAACATTGCAATCTGTCTATATCAATTGCCTCCCTAATTTTTCTTGTATAATTATTTGGGATGACTGAAAGTGTTTTTGGATGATTCCAATTAATTATACCTTTGCAATGTTGTGCATGTTCGACTATTGCAGACGCTTTCCAGTTCGCTTTAGTCACGTTTTTTTGATGTTCAGCTATTTGTGTTTTTATCTTTTTTCTGGTTTCGCCCACATAAAAAGCGCCACATGTACATTCAAGTTGGTAAACACCTGCGTAACTGTATGGTGGTAGCTTTGATTTATTTTGGCATAATATGTTCGATAAAGATCTCTGTTCGATAAAGAAAAACTGTTTTTATGGCAACTTTTCGAAACTCACGTCTAAGAATAAGGCTTAATTTAGGAACCCACGGAAGTATTATGGTATTATTTGTGTTAATTTGTTGGCGGTTTTTTTGTTTGGGATGGTTTGTAATGTTTTACAATGTCTAGAAGTTGTTGCTGAGAATATCCATTTTCCATAAAAATATTAATTAGGAACTCAATTTTTTTTTTCTATATTATCTATAGATCAACTTAATTTCTTAGACATCTGCATTTCAACTAATCATATAACTCATAAATATAACTTTTCTATAAACTGCAAGAATGCAACAACAAATGAACTTGTAAAACTGCAGTCTTGTATATCACCATATATTGCAATAGAAATATTTAAAGGTTTTCTTGGAAGAGCTTATAATTTATGCACTAGAGATAATATAGAAAAAGAAATTGAGTTCCTAATTAATATTTTTATGGAAAATGGATATTCTCAGCAACAACTTCTAGACATTGTAAAACATTACAAACCATCCCAAACAAAAAACCGCCAACAAATTAACACAATTAATACCATAATACTTCCGTAGGTTCCTAAATTAAGCCTTATTCTTAGACGTGAGTTTCGAAAAGTTGCCATAAAAAAAGTTTTTCGTTTTGGGAGATCTTTATCGAACATATTGTGCCAAAATAAATTAAAGCTACCACCAAACAGTTACCCGGGTGTTTACCAACTTGAATGTAAATGTAGCGCTTTTTATGTGGGCGAAACCAGAAAAAAGATAAAAACACGAATAGCTGAACATCAAAAAAATGTGACTAAAGCAAACTGGAAAGCGTCTGGAATAGTCGAACATGCACAACATTGCAAAGGTATAATTAATTGGAATAATTTAAAAACACTTTCAGTCATCCCAAATAATTATATGAGAAAAATCGATGAGGCAATTGAAATAGACAGATTGCAATGTTAATAACTAAAAAATAAAATTCTAAACCAAGATAATGGCAACCTAGTGACAACTCACTATTGGAAACCATTTTTTGTTAAATTTAAGAAAAAATTAAAAAATTATAATAGTTAAATAAATAGTATATCACCGTACATGATGTATTTTCAATTATATATATATATACATATATATATATATATATATATATATATATATATGTATATATATATATATATATATATATATATATATATATATATATATATATATATATATATATATATATATATATATAAGGGGCTGTTCTAAATCGTTTTCGACAGCGTCAACCGTATTTGGGCGTCGCCCAAATTAAAATTTGAGAACCCATTTATTTATTTATTTTAAACGTTTTTTTTATGGCAAATATTGTTTTTGCTGCGAAAAAAATGCTGATTTTCTGCTAAAGTCTGCCAAACCGAGGGGTACCGCCGCCCGAATTTTTTTCCTAAAATAAGTCCTGTATATGTGTATGTGTGTGTGTGTGTGTGTGTGTATATATATATATATATATATATATATATATATATATATATATATATATATATATATATATATATATATATATATATATATATGTATATATATATATATATATATATATATATATATATATATATATATATATATATATATATATATATATATATATATATATATATATATATATATATATATATATATATTGACTAATGGTTTAGGGCTTGGGCAGGCCTTATTGGTCTGTTAAGGATATAAAATTGAAGATCTTTTACAGAATATAAAATTTTTTTATGTTTTCTTTTTGTGGTTCGATGTATATTTTTTTGCTGAATATTAAGAACTTGTTTTCCACTTTTGTTTATTTTAATGGTTAATTTTTCATTTTGTTGTTCCATTTTTATATATAGTTTTTTTTAAATCAATCAAAATGTTTATATAAAAGTAATTTTATCAATTGTAGATGACATGCTGAACAAACTTAGTAAAAACTCAAGAGTTCAAAAAGAAGGTTGAATGCAGTTCATCTTAATAGAAAACAATTGATTAATAATAATAAATATACATTGTCAAGCAAAATGAACTTAATTCTATTTTTTTTTTAAATAAAAAACATTTACGGAATTACAATATAACTTGCTGTTATATTGTAGTTCGATTTTGTGGAAACACCCCTTATCAAAATACATTTTATACACGATAGCAGATCATTAAATAAAAGTTAAAAAAACAGAATTAAACCTGACTTATCAATTTTTTATTATAAATTATTGCTGGAGTTAATAAGTATTTAGCAATTATATAATAACTCATACCTTATCATGAGCTTTTTCTGTCCATTTTACATGCAAATTAACACATTCAGTTTTCTAAAATTAAAATAATTAGCATAACTAGTATAACTAATAACAATTTCACATATAAATTCACAAGATCAGTTTAGTAAAACTAACATAATTGGCATAATTAGGATAACTAATAACAATTTCAGATGCAAATTCGCAAATTCATTTTTTTTAAACTAATATAATTGGCATAATTGGTTTAACTAATAACCATTACACATACAAATTTGTAAATTCAGTTTTTTAAAATTACAGATTTCAATTAAAAACTAGTTTAAAAATATACAAAAAATAAAGATAAGAGGTTTGATGGCAAAACAATTTTGAGAAATGTAATAAATTAAAAAAAAAAAAAAAAACATTCACTACTTTAATATGTTTAACATAAATAAACTTTATGTTTAACATAAATATTTTAAATGTTTAACATAAATAACTTCAACATGTTTAACATAAATATTTTAACAAGCTTTTTTTTAATAAAACTTCTTTTTCTAGATTTCTTATTACACTCTGCTTATAATTTTATTATTATAAACATATTTATTTTAGATTGTAAATTGTAAAAACTATTTTCAGTTAAAATAAGATGCACCAATGCCAGAGACACAATCCTTAAACAATGAAATATTATTGTTAGAGGTGTAGCTCACATTTGTTTTATAATTCAAGTCTATAAAGTCTATATACAAAGTAAAAAAGTAAAATATAATTACGCCAATGGTCACACACCATCAATAACTTCAAATCAATAACATCAATAAATATCAAATAAAAACTTAATTTTCTCCAGATTAATATGTGCACTTTGCTACTTATTTAAAAATGTATGTTTGACCTCACTTGAAAGAGCTAAGAAAATATTCTTAAAAATTATTTTGAAAAAATTTAAAAAGCATTTTTAATTGACTTAAAGCAGATAAACACATTTTTAAAAAATTTACCAATAGTAAAGAAGGTAGCTTCCAGCATTTCAATGTCAGATCCTGACTTCCAGTGACCAAATAATCAGTTGAAAGACTGTAAAAACAATTTTCAAAAAATAGATCAAAAATATTATAATAAAAACTTGAAAGAAAAATTGTACTATTGGTAATATTGTAATTTGAAATGATCTTTATTGTACATCTGTAAAAAGATAACCTTTCAACAACTGGCAAACTTTAGCAAAATATTAAATAAAAATAAAAATGTTTTTTAATTAAATCTTTCAAAAGTTTTCCTGCTTGCTGGAAAATGGCATCTGTAGTTCCAATTTTTAAAAACTCTGGTGAACTCTTTAATTATTGCCCTATCAGTTTTCAAGATGTTATTAGCTTTTCAAGATTTTTATTAGGTCTTTCAGTCTTTTAGTCAAAGACTCTAAGACCTTGCTAATAACATCTTGAGTCAAATAATATTCAGGCAATCAATGAGTTTCGATTTTCTCGCTATACAGCTGACTTGCTAACTACTGCTACTGAAAGATTTTATAGTGCATTAAATAGAGACGACGAGACCAGAGCTATTACTATTGACATATTTAAAGATTTTGACAAAGTTTGGCATGCTGGTCTTCTGCATAAGCTTGCTTAATATGGCTTAATAACATTTTTAAGATAATAACTCCAACAAAATTCAGTTGTCTACTAAAAATAACTATCGCAATACTGTCAACATTTCTATATTTATGAATTGCTCATCATTCAGCCTCATTTGTTTGTTTTATCTGTCTCTGCATGCTTTAAAAACTTTTATTTGTCTAGTTTTTTGCCATGCAACTCTTTGAAACTCTTTTTTATGTTTTCATGACTCATACTACCAGAGGAAGGAAAAAAATATGGACGGTGGTATATATATTTCCTGTAAAAAACAGAAAGAAAAAAAAAAGTCGTTTTTAGTTTGGGCGGCGCTTAAATACGGTTAACGCTGTCGAAAACTGTCTAGAATAGCCCCTGACTACCTACATCATTTCAAGTCTTCTGTACATCATTTCAAGTCTTCTGTTTACTGTTTCCTTGCAACAAAACTGTTATTTTTTGTAGTAACTTCCAACCCCATAGTGTTGCTTGCAGCCTTTTATGGAGTGAATGGGGATAAAATAAAATCCTGATAATAAAGTACATATTTTAATTTTGTATTTTTTTGTATTATTGTATTTTTAGTTTTTACATTGTTTTAGCTCAACTTGTTTTTAACAAATGTGAGGACAATTATCAAAATGTCAATTTATTTTTTTGTTTTTTAAAATAAAACACATTTAAGTAAGATTTTTAAAGCGCAACTTATTAATTGTATGATTTTTATATTTCTATTAATTTTAAAGGTAAAATATTTAAAAGCTTTCTTCTATATATATAAATGAGGATATTGGTCAGCTTATTATATATTCTGTTATATTTTCTCTTTTTTTTTTTTTTTTTTTTTTTTTTTAAATATAAAAAGAAAAAATATATAATTTTTTTTTAAATAATAACAAAAATATAAAAAATACAATTTTTTAATGAACTATGTGAAACTTTTCACTTAATAGTTTTTCAGATTGTTAAAGATTGACTAGTAATGGAAGACTCAAATATATTATTACATTTTATTTAAATTTTTATATATTATATATTTATATATAACATTAATTTGATTTGATATATATATTATATATAACATTAATTTGATTTGAAGAAAAAAATATTAACTAGAAAAGTATATTACTCAGTATGTTTAATTTTTTTTGTAAATAAATAATTAGACTCAAAACTTTCCTTTGTGAGAAGCAAAACGACATAAAAAATTAAGAGGTATTTTGTTGATTTCTTAATAAATAATTTATTTTAGAAAATTTAATTAACTCTTGACTTCTCAGATTTATTTAAGATATAAACACAACTTGTTTGGACACTTATGATTCATTTAAAACTAGATGCATTTACAGATGTTTAAAATTATTCCAATGATTTTAAACCAAAATAAGTATACTGTAGTTTGTACTGATATTAAGAAATTTTACATAATAAAATTCTTGCACAAAATTAATCCTTGGCTTGCTAACTGAAAGATTTTTTTTTAACAATAATTATGAAAAATGAAAATTTGGATAATTATTGAAAATATTGACTTTTATATAAAAAACTTTTATAAAAATCAATAAAAAAAATTTAAAGAAATTGACTTTTATATAAAAAAAAGACTTTAAAAATTTACTTCTAATCTAGAACGATTTATTAGCAAAATGCATACTCACACAGGCCAGGAAATACTACTAACTGCATGAGTGTGACCATTACCAACTGCAACACAGCAAAATTTATCTTCCTCTTCATCTTTGCACCACACTCGAATAGTATTATCCTAAAACAAATTAAAAAAGTCAAACACACATTGAATCTATAAACAAAATAACAGAATTTCTTTTAAACAAAATTTTAAACTTGGATTTTAAATGTTATATTTAATGTTGGAATTTAAATGTTATATTTAAATGTTACAAGCATTCAAAAGATTTTAAATGTTTTTATCTTTTAAAGATTTGAAGCAAACTACAAAAAAATTTTATTACTCGTCTTTTAAGTTTTGAAGCTTTTATAAATTTTCAAGTTTTTAAATTCTGAACTTAAAAAAAATTCAAAAAAAATATAATGCAAGCAACTTTTTAAGTGCAAACTAAACAAAATATTTGAGCAATGTTTAAATTAAAAAATCAAAATAAAAATATACTTTAGAAGAAGAAGCCAGATATTTGCCATTGAAACTTACATCAATTGATAACACAATATCTGGAAAACAAAAGATAATATATATATATATATATATATATATATATATATATATATATATATATATATATATATATACTACATAAAAATTAAGCCATTTGCAAGAATCAAAAACGATTCAAATACCCTATTACCACTATGTCCTTTCAACATGTGAGAAGAAAGTAATCCTCTCTGCATAATATTGATCTGATTGCTATTAGTTGCCATCCCAATGTACTCTTCGTTTTCACCGAAAAATTTTAGGTCCAAAATTTCATCAAAATGACCAACAAACTATATATTTTTAGATTAAAAATCTTTTTATAAAAACCAGAAATAAACTTATTAATAAAAAAAGAATAAAAGTAAAAATAAATAAAAGAACAAAAACAACAAAATAAAATAATAAAACAAAAGTTTTGAAAAAAAGAAAGTTGACTCGAAAAAAAAAATTTTTTTATATTTTAAAATCGTTAACTTGCTAAATAATCTAAAAGTTTATTACAAACAATTATGTAAATTTACCTTTAAAATTGGTTTCAATGATATGGGGTTATACACAATTATATTATGTTCTTCTGTGACAACAATAAGTTTTTCAGAATTACTATCGAAGTGGAGTTGTACAATATTTGACTCTGAATTTTCTTTTTGTGAAGTATAAGCACAAAATCCACCAATCAAACTCCAAAACCGCAAGCTACCTGAACAAAATTTAATTTTAATTATTATAAACATTCAGCCTAAAATATTTCTTCACGCAATAGTGTTTTGTATATTTCTACAATGCACATTATAAAAAAGTTTACTGTGTTTTTGCACAATACGCGCAAGAACATTACTAGATATTTGTACAATACATAAAAAAATATACTGAATACTTGAAGAATAGACATAAGAATATAGTAAAATTTAAATAGAATGAAAGCTAACTTTTCAGAAGTACACTTTTCATCAAAATTCAATCAAAAGATTAAATACCATTTTCACCAGCAGTAACAACAAACTCTGTGTCTTTCATACTGGTATTTTTAAATAAGGACTTTTCTTTTGGAACAACAACCAAACTTTCTATTACCTTTTAAGCATAAACAAAAATAGTTGCAAATATATAAAAAAAAAAAATTATATATATACATGTACAGTCTTCGAAATTAGGGTCAGCATTCAGCAATAAGACCTAACTGCTGACCTAAAACTGTTTGAGGTCAGCAAAAAATCGCCAACCTTATTTCTATGTTGTATGGTAAAACCTTTGTATCAAGTTTTTTATGCTGACCTGATGCTAACCTGTAAAAGATTGAGGTTAGCAAATTATTGCCGACCTCATTTTTTTAAATTCCGATGGATGTATATATATATCAATCCTCAGAATCAGGGTGGGTTCCGCAATGCCGACCTAATAGTGGTTAAGGTCAACAAAAAATTGCCAAACTTGTTTCTATGTTTTATTTATATCAAAAATTTTTTGCCAACCTGATAAAAGATTTAAATGATTTTTCCTTACTCGGAAGATTGATATATACATATTTATATATATATATATATATATATATATATATATATATATATATATATATATATATATATATATATATATATATATATATATATATATACATATTTATATATATATATATATATATATATATATATATATATATATATATATATATATATATATATATATATATATATATATATATATGTATAAACTATTTTCTTTAAAATTTTAATATTTTAAATGAGTTTATAAACATAAGTCATTACTCCTACCTCAAAAGTTGGAACTGTCCTAATTTGCTTTCTAGAATTCAAGTCCCAAAACACAAGAATTTTATCTCGCCCTGCACTGAAAAAAAACTGTATTAAAGCATCAAAATGTAGCACATAAATATTGAATATGATATATATATATATATATATATATATATATATATATATATATATATATATATATATATATCATATTCAATATTTATGTGCTACATTTTTACATAAAAAAATGATATATATACATATATATATATATATATATATATATATGTAGCACATCTAAATGTATTGAATAAAAAATAATATATGTGTTAAATCGAAACATTTAAATACAATTGTCAGCATAATTTATATATACAAGAATATATATATATATATATATATATATATATATATATATATATATATATATATATATATATATATATATATATATATATATATATATATATATATATATATATATATATATATATAACGAATTGCAAATACCTAACTAATGCATCTTGTGAAAACTCTAATGATGTAACAGGGCTGTAATGACCATCTAGTACTGACACACACCTTAATAAAATTAAAATAATGATATCAGTAAATAAAAGTTATGACATCACACAACAAATTGGTTAGTTAAGCTAAAAAATTCTTACTTGCTTGTTTGCAAATCCCACATATATATTTTTCCATCAACTGAAGCAGATATTAAAGATAATTTTTCTGTGTGAGGATGAAATTTAAGTACACTAAGCAAAAAAAAAAAAAATCTAAACGACTTGTTTCATTAAAAGTTATCTTGTATAATTTTCTGAAATGAATCTTTTAAAAAAAAATTATATAGTGAGGTAAACAAAATAGAAAATTTTCAAAATATCACCTAACTGAACTTTGAGAACCCTTGAAGTTGTGGGTATAATACATTTTTACAACATCATAAATTTTAATTGTGGTGTCGCTGGAGCCTAAATTTAAGCATTATAAGATATAATTTTAATGTGGTACAAACATTTAATGTAATATTTAATGTAAGTTAAAAGTTTTTTCACAATAAAACAGAAAATATTTACTTAAATACATTTCTAGAAGTATTTTTAAAATGTGTTTGAATAATTTTTTATAAAGCAGTTGTACTTCAGTTTAACAAACTAAAATTTATTTCATGTTTAGAGCATTATATATATTTTTGAATTTATATATTTGCTGCATTAACAATTAACATGTTAGAGCATAATTGTATGTAGAACATACTAAAATGCTAAAACAGCTTTACATAGCAACTTTTCAACCACTTGGTCAAACATTTCCTTGCTCTATAACTCTATTTTTTTCTATTCATAACTTAATAGTAATTTCTTGCAGCCTTGTTGGTACTGAACCAGAATTTATATATATATATATATATATATATATATATATATAATATATATATATATATATATATATATATATATATATATATATATATATATATATGCAATGAAACGTATTATCTATGTTAAAGCATAAAAGCAATGAAACGTATTATCTATGTTAAAGCATAAAAGAAGATAATTAAAAACTACTCTAATATTGATAATTATAAACCAATTAACCAATATTTATAAATACAAAAATTTTTTTTTTAATTTACAAATACACAATTTATCTAAATTTTGTATTTGTAAATAAATAAATAAAATTTTTCTATTTAAAAATTAAATACTATTTAGCTTTTTTTTTTTTTACATTTATAATTTAAAAATGAAAATAAAAATATAAGAAGACAATATATGTAACTAATCATTTAAACCTTTTAAAACGGTATTTAAAAGTGATGTATGCAATTAAAACAGATCAAATTTTCAATTAATAAATTTGATAATTTATTCATTAAAACTTTAATTGCATATATATATATATATATATATATATATATATATATATATATATATATATATATATATATATATATATATATATATATATATATATATATATATATATAGAGAGAGAGAGAGAGAGAGAGAGAGAGAATTTAAGAGACAGATAAAAAGAGATTAATCTATCCCTTTTCTGTTCTCAAAAACAAGTTAAAGAACATTATTTTAATGGAAAATATATTGAAATATTTTTGAGATATTATATAATATATATATATATATATATATATATATATATATATATATATATATATATATATATATATTACATGAGAAGCTAGTAATATTTTTTTGTTTGTTCAGAAAAAAAAAGCACTAATGTAGTAAAATTGAATGCTTTTATATATATATATATATATATATATATATATATATATATATATATATATATATATATATATATATACATATATATATATATATATATATATATATATAATATATATATATATATATATATATATATATATATATATATATATATATATATATATATATATATATATATATATATATATATATATATATATATAAAAGCATTCAATTTTACTACATTAGTGCTTTTTTTTTTCTAAACAAACAAAAAAATATTACTAGCTTCTCATGTAATATATATTTATAGCTAATAGAGTTCATACCTGTTGCTAATAATGTTGATGAAGAATCAAAAGTCATTGCAAGAACCTGAGTTTTGTGAGAAACCTTTAAAAACAAAATTGACATTCAATGATACATAATGAAGCTAGTGTTTCCATTACCTAGCAGAAAAAAATTTACCAGGGTAATAGGTCATTTTAAGTTTTCTCTAGAAATTATTTTATAGGATTAGGTATATTATAATTAAATTATAGCTATAATATTGAGAAGAAATTATGAATAATATTACCCATAATTTCTTTTCAATATTTTAGTACAAAAGATGGGGGCATAAGTTTTTAGAAGAAAAAATTAAATAAGTTTTAAAACTTTTATATTTAAACAACATTTCTCTAATATTGCAGAATTAAATTAAGATCAAAGTATCATGAGTAAGATTTGTGGCCATCTTTCCAATGATTGAGAAAGTTCTGCATCTACATATGTTGGTTAATTATTAATAAGGTTTTTCCAGATTTTTATGCTTTGAACAGGTAGCTTTAAATAAATCTTATTTATCAAAATCTAAAATCTAATTTCATCTACAGTGTTAACTTCATGCTTTGTCTAATGAATAGATAGAACAAATTCTCCTGAATGAGATTTTAACTTTTAATCTAACTTTTAATGTAGGACCCACTCTGTAAGTACAACCACTTACAGAGAGGTTGCACTTACAGAGTGGGTCCGACATTAAAATCAATTTTAAAATCAACTGGTACTTTAAGCTCTCTCAAAAGTCTGGAGATTTTAAATAATATAATAAGTGTTCCAGATCATGGTATTTTTATTTTTAAATTAAATATTAAAGCAAATAGTTTGTGTATAAAAAGGTTTTTTTTTCAAGTTTTATTAGTTAAAAATAATAATACCTTCCAGCGTCTCGTAAATGTTCTCAGACTTAGACTAAATTGATGTAGCAACAGTGCTTTACAAGCAGTTATTAAAATCTAAAAAAAGAAATAAAACATGAATCAAAACAAAAAAAAAAACAATTTCAAAGCAATAATATAAAAATTATACATTTAAATTCCTTATGTATTAATTCAGACAGTTTCCAGACAAAAAAAAAGAAAGAAAAAAACTAGTGAAAAAACTAGAAAAAAAGTTGCGATAATTAATCTTCTTTATAACTAAATTGTAAAGCATCAACTTAAACCTACAGTGAGTGTCAATCAACTTAAACCTACAGTGAGTCCCACTTCCCAACCACCCAAAAAAAAACACGAATAAATAAATAATAAGAATGATATGGAACAAAATCAAGTTTCATACAGGACCATTCCGAACAGGGGGGTGTAGGGGGAGTTCCACTTAACCCTCCCCCCCTCCCCCAAAGCTACCATATAAGCATTTGAGTTGGCACATTGAGCAAGTTTTGAACTATAGGTTGCAAAATATACAACAAAAAAAAAGGTAACTTAAAATACTTGTTAAGCTTGAATATTTTGAAAAAGACTATTACAGTTAGTGATGAGAACAAAAATTAGATTTAGTTCATCTAAAACTTTATCAATTAACTTTTTAGCATAATTGAAATTAGTTTAATACTGTTACACTTGTTTATCAAAACAAGCATTGATTTAAAATATTACAATGTACTTACAATGTATACAATATGTTTACAATACATATGAGCACTGTCTTAATTATAGTTTTCTTATAAAAATCAAATTCTTTGCTTGTTTTTAAATGTTTTAACATTTATTAGTAACTCTAAAAATCATTAGTTTATCAATTTAAAAAAACAATAAAAATTCATAAAATTAACTTTATCTTTAAATATTAAATTGGTAGAGTTTGATTAAGGTGATAGTGTTATCCTATCACCGTCTAAAGTTTTAAAAGATTTTCTGTGTTCTGACTGGTGCTTTTAAAGAATGAAGAATTAAGCCATTAGAAACTTAATCTTTTGAAAAAATATAAGTCAATTTTATCTTAAAATCACAAATTAACATCTTTATAGACATTAGGTTCCAATAACTTTGTTTACATAACAAATAAGATGCTAAAATGTCAAGCCACTAGATTTCCTGCAAAAAAAAATTGTTATGATGAAGTTAATGAAGAATCTTAGGCTTTTCAGAAGATTTATGTTTGTTTTTTCTTTCTTCAAAAATTCTTCAAAAAGTTTAAGTTTGCTTAGGTTCCCTTAAAATAAGTTTCAAGTTTAAAAACTTAAAGTTAAAATCTAATATAAATTTGAATATTGTTAATTTAAATGTAATTTTAATGCCTCAACCATATTGAACACTTGAACCAATAATGCACAGATTCTGTCCTCATTGTTGGCTTCTCATAATTGTCATAACAATTCGCACTAAAAAACTGCCATCTTCTTACAGTAGTGTATTTAACAACTATTGTACATTAAGCTTTTTTTAAAGTTTTGCTTACTGTTTCCTTTCTTCTCATTATAACCATTGTGTAAAGCTCAACACATTCAAATTACACTAACTTTAAATAGTTTTTAAAAAAATTTTAAATTTTATGTGGTCTTTTCAAAACAATTATCTGGAGGAGATAAACCAATGTGTCATTTTTTATAAATTGTAAAAATGCAGTTAAGTAAATAAAATTTTCAGCTATAATAATACTCTCTTATTGTAATTGATATTTTGAGAATTAATATTAGTAATTAACTTTTGATAAACACTAAAGTTTATAAATAAATAAAAATATGTAATGTAACAAAATATATAAATACTTTGCCATCAGGAGATGCAGCAAAACAGGTAATATCACTTCCATCCTTAAAAAAGAAATAAAAAACTAATCACAATTTTTGTATAAACTTTTATGTAAAATACTTATTGTAAAAATAAATTTAAAAAAAGCAAGTAAACAAAAAAACCCTACATCTTTCAATTGATAGATTCGTTCCCCATTTGATAGATCTAAGGCATTTACAACATCTCCACAAGTGCACAACATTTCTGTACCATTTTTTGATAGCTAATTTAAATTTTAAAGATTTGAAAATTATTCGGATCAGAAATAGCATAATGCTAACACTTTATAAGAGTTTTTATAAGAAGATTTAGGACGACAGATTTTTAAAAATTTTAAATGTTTTAAATTCTTGTCTTTTTATGGTGTTCCATATCAAACTAGATCACTTTTTTTTATGATTTTGATAAAAAATGAATAAATTTGAAATTTTTATATAATTTTGCTTCCTTTAAAACCCAGGTTGACTATTTAAAGAACATTTTTTTAATTGTTATGAGGGGCCTGTATAATCTTTAACACTTTTAAATACTTTTTAAATAAAACTAATTTTTAAAACAGCTTATAGAGAGCAAAAAAAGAAATTTTTACAAAATGTTTTAAAAACCACATCCAAATGTCCTTAATATTGATTAGGGTTTTAATATTTAAAAATCATTAATACAAATAATATATTATAATAAAAAAGAAATAAAATATATATATATATATCTAAATATTAATACAGCAATGAATATTATTATTAGTGCACATAGTTATGCATTGTTACACCTATTGTTCGTTTTGTTAATTACGGTTTTGCATTATGTAAAATACACTATTTCTTATTTTTTAAGTTGTTTCTAGACTTTTCTAAGCGCAGTTATATATTCCACGCGGTCTTTCAAGTAAAATCAGAAAGCAAATTGGAGCTGATACACTTATTTTCAAGAAGAATTGATGTTGTTTATTTTTTTAAATAAAAATTTAAATAATTGTTGTTGCTTATTTTTATTTTTTCTAATTTTTATAGTCTGTTTTTATTTTTTAGAAGAAGTTAGAACTAAAATGTTTAATAAAATAGTTTTTTTAGTAAAATGTTTCTCTTTTAGTAAACTGTTTCATTTTGTCATTAGTCTTTTTAGAACATTTTAAGCAAGTATTGTTTTATTTTTTAGAGCAAAAAGAGAAGCTGATGGTTTTTTTAGTAAGTTCAATTCATTTTCTTATTTACATATTAAAATTGTTTTTTGCAAATAGAATTATATATAAAATAAAGTTTTATATAAGTATTTAATATGAAAAGTTAAATAAAATAAGACTGTTATTTGTGTTTATGTAAGCTTATATACATAAGTTTGCGTTTATTTAAGTCTATTTTATATTTCTCTATATCTATACTATATGTATATTTTCTCCTAGCAAAAATTATTGAGAACAGAAAAATAAAAAAAATTCTTCTGAAGTTTGTAATAAATCTTGCTCTACACTGTAGAGCAAGATTTATCAACCTTACCAGTCAAGCGATGTTACTGCTTTAGGTCTAAGTGTTGCCTAGCCTTTAATATAACTGTTCTGAAAACACATTGCATTATCTTTAATAATTTTTTGCGTAATATTGTTACCTTTGGCTTATCTTTACGTTGGTGTCAGCTGTTAAAAATGATTAATAGGTAGTTTAATTACTAGAACTCACTGCTTTTATTTATTTACTAAAATTCATTCAAGACATCATTTCACTATAAATACATTTTGTTTATCATGAAATAACAACATTTAGCAACTACTACTCAGGTATCACAACAGCTTATCTCTATCAGGTACATTGATTTTCAATTCACAAATGATGATTTTCTTTGTATTTACTTATTCGTTACATTTTTAACTTCAGATTTATGTTGTATTTATTTGCTATAGAAGAACAAATCATTTTGAATCTTTTAAAAATATCTACTCCAGTCAACATTTAAAGTTTTATGTTGCATATACCATTTTTAAGTAGCTTCTAGGCTTTTTTGATGCTTTTCTTATTCAAATGGTTTTATAAACAAGATCTGCAAGCAAATTTGAGCTGAAAAGTTTTTCAGCTTTCAAGGAGAATAAATGTTGTTCTCTGTTTAATTTAATTTGTTTAAATAGAGTAGTTTTAATAAATAAATGTTTACTTGTTCTTGGTTTTTTACTTATTTGTTTTCAGATTCTTAAGAACTAGGTAACTTAGCAAAGCAAGATTTGTTTTATTTTTTAGTCCAATTGGAAAGAGCTAAAGTGCTTTTTAGTCACTTCAAATCATTTGTTTCTGTTTTTAAATAGAAGGGTTAATAATAAAAATATTTCGACAGTTGAACTGTTACTGATTTGAGTAAGTTTAATACTTTGTTTTATTTTATATTAGATATATATTTTATGTATTTAACATGGAAAACTGATTGTAATTTTTGACAGGTAGGTTTTACATAAATGTGCCTATATATCAGTATATTTTATATTTCTCTGAATCTATATAAATATTATTTCAAAGAAAAAATTAAAAAGAATAGAAAAAAATTAAAAAGAATAGAAAAAATTTGAATATATATACATACATATATATATATTACTTTAGACTGACATTGCTTCATTTTTTAAACAAGATTCTGCATTTATTATTTTTGTGCATTAAGATTGTGCCTGAAGGTAAAAATAACTTTGCATTGTAGTCTAAATTCTTTGCTAAATTCAAATAATGTCAATAAATTTTGTTTTATATTTTTCAGTTGTAAAAATATAAAACGTTCAATTATTCAGTTGTAACAGTAGTATAATCACTGGTAATATGTTTAATGATAACAGGTGTATAATATTAGGCTCGAAGAAGTTATTAGTGTAAATGGTTATAGGTGACCTAAAATTGTTGTCATATGAAAGAAATAGAACTAGGTGTGATAAAATTAATTGTCGTTGAAATATAAGAAATTTTGCTTGATGAACAGAAAACTTACTTGCCAGAATTCAGTGTCAAGCGGTGTTGGTGTCTATTATTTGATTTTACATTAGACACTTTAAAATAAAGCAAAGTATGAACTTTACTATTTATAGTAACAAATAATAACAGTTTCAATTTTAAATAATTTTAATTTTTTTTTTTTTTTTTTTTTTTTTTTGTAATCTTAAACATAATTGTGTTCATTTTTTTTTAGTTGTCTTTGTCATCACTTGATTATTTTGCTTACTGTTGAAACAGGTTTTGGTTTTAATTTTGTAAATTTAATATGATGTGAAATTTACAATATTAATCATTTGTCAACAGTTAGAGAGAAGCTGGAACTTAATTAAGAAATGCTGGAAATTAACTTTTAGTTAAGGTAAAAATAATTTTGTTTATTAGTAGCATAATAAAACCAGTTACTGTTATTTATTGCATGACTTTTTTACTTTTTTTAACATGCTGCTTTTGAAACACTTCCTCTCTCTCTTAGGTGAGACTTAAATAAGAATTAGTATTGAGAATTGTAGAGAGAGAATTGATTAAACTCGTGTAATTACTGAGCTCTGATTAAACTCTGTAATTAGCTCTTGCGTATTTTTTAATACTGCGATTGATAATTTGCTATTTAAAGATATAATTCTTTAAATTGTCCCTTGATTGTTCAAATATTGTAATCTTTTTAGTTTTAAGTATTTTCTTTTAGAGATCGTCTATATATTACGTAACGCCAAATTAAATATACAGACAAAAGAAATATCTCAAAAACCGTGTTTCTCTCATGGTCAATTATATGTTGCATTTTCAAGAACTAGAGCATTTAATAGTTTGTTTTTCAAAATTGATAAACATCTTATTCAAGGTATAGTAGGTAAAAAAATGTAACATAAATATTGTTATATTTTTTAATGTTCTTAATTTATAGTCTTTAGATTTTCGTTTCGAAAATTTACTGTTAAAGGTTGTGAGCACATTTTGTATGTATAACTTTATCAGTATTTATTTTTTTCATATTTTGATAAATATATCTATCATTCAATAGTTGTAAAATGTGTTTATATGTGTTACATAAAGTCATATTTGTTTATAGTTGTATATATGTTTAAATTATAAAAGCCAAGACAACAATTTATATCTTAGTTTGATTTTTTTTAGTATTGTTAATGTTTTTGTACTTTGAAACAGATTTTATAGTTACATTTTCGATAAATCTTAAACTGCAATTTCAAAATAGGTTACTATGAATAAATCGATTTTCGGTAATTGTGTGGTGGTTTTTGTTTTTTTTTCTTTGTAATTATTTTATAATGGTTCGTGTTATAAAAATTATTACAAGGATTTAGTTGAGATACTTTTGCCAATTTAAAGCATGATGAAGTGTCATTATTTTGTGTTAGTAACTAAAAACATATTGTGTTAAACTTAGGAAGGTCAATGAAAATGGTTCTGCCTTACATTGTTATGACCTATGCCATTTGTAAATTACTCAAATAATGTTAAGTAGTAATTGTAAATGTTAAGTAGTAGTTGGTAAATTATTTTACCTCCTCATACTTTTTATGTTAATTTTACAGATGGATTAATTTTTTCAAGCTGAAGGCGATTTTTTAAAAGGGTGTTAGTTAAGGTTTTGCAACATTAAATTGTGGACAACAGCCACTATAAATTAATTATGTTACAGACCGACCAAAACCCGTATTACTGGTTGCTTTTTGCTAGTATATATAAATACGAAAAAAATTAAAAAATCATATATTTTAACACTGAATTACAAACACTATTGATATTTGATATTTTGCATTGTCATATGCTCTGAAAGGTCTAATACTTTCTATAAAATTATAAGCAATTACACAAATCATTAAATACTTCCAAAGAAGCAGATAAATGCTGTTTTTCCACCAATTCCGTTGCAATAAGAAACTGTTCATCATTTCAACATTTTCCAATTCAGTGGTGGTTGTTAAATGTTAAATGTTTTGCGATGGTTTTCACAACTTGTAACACACTCTGTTTTTGTGCCTTATCTTTGTGCCTTATATTGCAAAAGTTCTGGATCAGAGCAACACCGCACTCTGTATGGCCATTAATACATGGCCAATACCTGACAGTTTTCGTTGCTTGCTGGTAAGGTGGTTCCTCATTCCACTGATTAACTGGACAACACAGGAAACTTAAATTAATTCCATTTGTTTCAAAAAATACATATATCTGCAGTTGCTTATTAATGGCATAGTTGTCTATGCCATTGATAAGCAACTGTTTCTCATTACATATAACT